ATGTACATCTCTCAAAACCTGGTAAAAATATAAGTCACAAGCTCTAGATACAATACTGAACACTCATATATATAACTCTCTATAAAGATGTAAAGAAATAAGAAAAGAATAGGGTAGAAGGGGAAGGGTGTAATGCTTATTTAGATTTCGTGAGGGTTGTTAGTGTTGATACTCTTACCGTGGAGTCAGTTCCGGTAGTGAGGGATTATCTAGATATATTTCCGACAGATCTTTCGGGCATGCCGCCCGACATGGATATCGACTTTGGTATTGATTTGTTACTGGGCACTCAGCCCATTTCTATTCCACCCTATCGTATGGCCCCAACAGAGTTAAAAGAGTTAAAGGAGCAGTTGCAAGAGTTTCTTAATAAGGGCTTCATTCAGCCCAGTGTGTCGCCTTGGGGTGCTCCAGTCTTGTTTGTAAAGAAGAAGGATGCTTCTATGCGCATGTGTATTGATTATCGCAAATTGAACAAGGTTACAGTGAAGAACAGGTATCCATTGCCACGTATTGATGACCTATTTGATCAGCTACATAGTGGCAGAGTGTTCCCTAAGATTGACTTGCGTTCAGGCTATTATCAGTTGAAAATTCGGGAGCCAGATATCTCCAAGACTACCTTCAGGACTCGGTATGGACATTACGAGTTCCTTGTGATGTCTTTTAGGTTGACCAATTCCCCAGCAACATTCATGCACTTGATGAACATTGTATTTTAGCCATATCTTGACTAATTCGTCATCGTGTTTATTGACGACATTCTGGTGTACTCCTGGAGCTGGGAGGATCATGAGCAGCACCTGAGGACTATGCTTCAGACCTTGAGAGAAAAAAACATTATATGCAAAATTTTCAAAGTGCAAATTCTGGCTAGATTCTGTGGCATTTTTGGGTCATGTAGTGTTGAGTGAGGGGATCAAGGTGTATTCGAAGAAGATTGAAGCAATGCAGAGTTTTCTAAGACCAGATTAACCCAGAAGAGTGCTCCGTTCAGGTGGACTGAGGAGTGTGAGGAGATCTTTCATAAGCTCAAGACTGCTTTGACACAGCCCCAGTGTTGGTGTTGCCTTCGAGTTCGGGGTCATATAATGTGTACTGTGATGCATCGCATATTGGTCTCGATGCGTTGTTAATGCAGGACGGTAGGGTGATTGCCTACATGTCTAGATAGCTGAAGGTGCATGAGAAGAACTATCCCGTCCATGACCTCGAGTTAGAAGCTATTATTCATGCCTTGAAGATCTGGCGGCACTATTTGTACGGTGTCCCTTGTGAGGTCTGCACCGACCACCAAAGTGTACAACATCTGTTCAAATAGAAGGATCTTAACTTGGGGTAGCGAAGATGGTTAGAGTTGCTTAAGGACTGTGATATCACCATTCTATATCATCCCGGGAAGGCCAATGAGGTGGTTGATGCCTTTAGTCGCAAGGCGGAGAGTTTGGGTAGATTAGCATATCTATCGGTAGCACAGAGGCCATTAGCCTTGGATGTTCAGGCCTTGGCCATAGTTGAATTACTTGCTTTCTTAATTCTGTTTTCATTATTTAACTGTGAAAATTTCTTATTTGAATTTTGCTATCCTTGAAATATCTTGTTGTTGAGTTTGGTGTTGAGTTGCAAGGGCCGTGGTTTCTATTGAGGCAAGGTGTAAGTTGTGAAGTGTCATTTTATTTAGTTGGTACATTTTGGCTTCTGTGTTATTGTTGAGGTGATCGTTTGGTTGTGTGCACAAGGTTTCTGCCACGCTGTTGTTATTGTTTGCACGAGGTTTTTGCCGTGTGATTGTTACTATTTGCAAGAGGTTTTTGCCGTGCCGTTGTGATTATTGATACGCATGCGGTGGTACAAAGTCTGGGTATTAAAACGCATGCGGTGAGATAAGGTGGGCTTGATACGCGTGGCTAGCAGGAGAACTACTAGAAGCCATGTGGTGTGATAAGGTGGGCTAAAATGCGAGGTGCTATTTCGGAAAAAATAATTTTCACAACTAAATGTAAAGGCTCCTGCGGTGATATAAGAAAAGATTATGATTTATTTTTATGATTTGGGACTACGAGGTGGTACCTCAGGATTGCCCATGTTGATCTTCTCTATTTGTTGTATTGTTTGGGTGTTGTTTCCTTAACATGTAAAATCCTTGTTTTCCTTTCGTGATTTTATTAGCTTCCTTGATTTCCGTGTTGTTACTTTATATAATTTCTTTATTGTTTCCCTTCACTATTATTTCAGGATATCATTATATTTTCTGTCTTGATTCTTATTATCTCCAGTTGTACCTCGACCTGACCTCGTCACTATTCTACTGAAGTTAGGCTTGTCACTTACTGGGTACCGTTGTGGTGTACTCATACTACGCTTCTGCACATGTTTTGTGCAGATCTTGGTACATCCTATCAGTCTCGGTATTAGCATGTTGAGTTGCTTGCTTTGGAGACTTCAAGGTATACCTGCCCGCGTCCGCAGGCCTCGGAGTCCCCTTTTACCCTACTCTTTTCTTATTTCTTTACATCTTTATAAACAGCGATGTATAGGAGTGTTCAGTACTGTATCTAGAGCTTATGACTTATATTTTTACCGGGTTTTGGGAGATGTACATGTTGAGTTACATATTTTATTTCATTTAGTTGTTGATATTTTTGAGATTTAAATTATCATTCGAGTTATTCCATATGTTTGTTAGGCTTACCTAGTCTTAGAGACTAGGTGCCGTCACAACATCCTACGGAGGGAAATTGGTGTCGTGACATCAAGCCTAATGAACTTATGAACTTCCGAATTTTAAAATTAATGCTGGTTCATACCAAAATAACTCTGATTCACTTCAAATTTTGCACACAAGTCATAAATGACATGACAGACCTATTCCAACTTTCGGAATCGAAATCCGACCCCGATATCAATAAAGTCAACTCCCGATCAAACTTTTCAACCTTCCAAACCTTCAACTTTCTTACTTTTGCCAGTTCACATCGAAGAGACTTGTGGACCACCAAACCAACATTCGGACACGCTCCTAAGTCTATAATCACCATAAGGAGCTATTGAAACCGTCAAAACTCCATTCCGGGGTCGTCTACACAGAAGTCAAAGTACGGTCAACTCTTTAAACTTAAACCTAGAAGTTAGGGACTATCTGTCCTATTTCACTCTGAAACTTACCCGAAACCAAAACCAAACACCCTCGGCAAGTCGGGTAACCACAATATAACATAGAGGAAGCAATAAATAGGGGATCGGGGCTAAAATACTTAAAACGACTGGCCGAGTCGTTACAGTTAGTACCCATGCTCCACAAAGGCTCAATGATGCACTTGGTTGAATACTGAGTTATTTACCCAAAGGAACATAGATCAATTCTCACTTAATACTTCTTTTTCTCCTTTTATTAATTTAGTGGTGCATACACATTCTAAAAATCCTAAATTCGCCTCTGATCTACATCACACCTTTAGGGTGCGACCAACAACACTTGACTAGGAGCTAAGTGGTCGGTATTGCTCGTATCTAGACGAATACTAATTCGGTACCGGATGATTTAGTCAATTTGGCCTTCAGTCAAGAGTGTCATTTTGAATTACATGCATGCACTTATAATTTCTAACGATATTTCGTATGTTATGGTAGATGTTGTTGGGGTTTCCCTTCGCTTGATTTCTAGCTAGTTTTTGTCGCTTTCTTTCTCTTGAGAAAGGAATTCTTTTTTTAGAACTGTGGCAAGAAATCACTCTATTACTCGAGGAACTAATTATTCAGACCTTCACCATCATCTTAACCAATCGCTAACCCTTAACCAATCGCTAACCCTCCTTAAAATTATTTTATTTGCATGTTCTTAGCGTTGACATTTTAGTATAAATACTCAGAGGATACGTGTTTTCTCTATATATAGTCCACGTTTAGTTGTTCTTTTTCTGTATATATTTTTACCAATTATTAGTCTTTTTTTTTGGGTTGTCAATTTGAAGTTGTTAGTTACAATATTATCCATGATTACCCCTCCCTCATAGAATATCATACGAATGAAACCACTCTTGTAAAGTAAACCTTTTGGTCATATCGTTGGAAAAAATGGTTATATTATTTTTCGATTTTTAATTCTTTGTCGGCTCTATCTTAATCATTAGTTCCATCATTACAGTATCAACAAGTAATAAAGCTCTTAAAATAAAAGTCAGTAGAGGGGTAAATTTTGTTTTTTCTTCTAAAATAATCCCGATAACTACCTATGTTGATAACAAAGTCCCAACTAATACACACACACACTCAAGACGAAAACCAAATAGTACCCCCGTTATCCCCACTTTATGTGACATCATTACAATACAAGGATCAAAATATTTAATTTCTGTGCAAATTCGGACATAGATTTTCAAAGTTTTTAAAATAAAATTCATATATTTAAAAGTTATATAAAAAATACTATAGTCGCAATATCTAACAATTCAAAATATTTAAAACACATATGAAAAAATTACGATCAACGAAAACTCATTTGACTCTCCAAATAATAAATAGTGCTACAAAGAGGAGGTAGCAATAATTTGTGAATTACCAAAATTTCGAGCATGGATTGATTCTGAGGTCCATAGTACTCCCTCCGTTCACTTTTACTTGGCACATTTTGACTTTTTACCCCCCTTAAGAAATAAGAAATGAAGTGCAAAATTTACCATGATACCCATATGAATTGATGCATATTTTATTGGATTTGAGAAAATAATTTGAAATGAGTAATAAATACTTGGGTATAACAGGAAAAAAAAAATTTATCTTCTCTTGATATGCGAAAAGTGACAAGTAAAAATGAAAATCTATTTTTAGTATACCTGGAAGTAAAAATGAACGGACGGAGTATTAAAAAAGACTACTTGTTAGAGATAGTCAATGTCCTGTGCTTATTATAGTGAGAGTTGTTAAACCTAGAACAATTGTCGTGTTGCCATAGTCAACATTTCTCCTACCTATAAATACAGTCACATTTTACTCTCTTTGTCACATAGAAGTGTACTAGTAACTTCATAAACTATAGCAATAGAAATGGCTAAGAATAGCTTTATTTTTCTTCATGTTTTAGTCATGTTTTCTCTGTCAAGCATGGCATTTTCGAATTATCTTTCAGCTTATTTCTACGATTTTGTTTGTCCCGAAGCTTTGCCAACCATAAAACGGGTTGTTGAAGATGCAGTCAAGCAAGAGAGGCGAATGGGCGCCTCTCTCCTACGTCTACATTTTCATGATTGTTTCGTTCAAGTGAGATCCTTCTCTCTTTTCACGCTTGCGTCAATTCGTCCAACTTTAAAAAAATAGGCTCTTAATTAAACTACTTTTATGTCCCAATTTATGTGACACTTTTTACTTCTCGAGAGTTAGTTTGCCAAATCTTTGAAGATAAATTGGGTTAGATCAACTCAATATTTTAAAATTAAAATTTAGATATTTAAAAACTATACAAAAAGTATTATAACTTGCAATTCTTCTAATGCATGTCAATATGATGAAAAAAATATTATAAAATATAGGTCAAAGTTCACTTAGTTTGAATCTCGAGAAGCATTATTTAAGTATTTTGTGATATGGAAAGAGAGGATTGAAGATCATATTTACATAGTGTCTCTTCTATATATGTATAGTCTTTTGCTGACCCTGGTTTTATTAATTAAACCGGCTTTTTTCTATGTATATAGAGAGTGGACTTCTTTCTTTAGGTTGCTTGATATGTTACTAAAGTTTCTTGTAAATGAAGGGATGTGATGCTTCAATTCTTCTTGATCAAACGGAGACTATTGACAGTGAAAAGACTGCTAGAGCTAATAACAATTCTATTAGAGGATTTGAAGTGATTGACCAAATCAAGTCGGAGGTTGATAAAGCTTGCGGACATCCTATTGTATCTTGTGCGGACATTGTGGCAGTTGCAGCTCGTGACTCTGTAGTTGCAGTGCGTATCACTCCCTCCTGTTCTATAACAGCTCTAGTTCACTTTTCCCTCTCGTCAACTTTTTTTCCTTTACTATGGCATTTTCCATGATAAATGTTAGACTTAAATACTATACTTGTTCAAGTTAATTATACTCCTAGTACTTTGACCCAATTTATGTGGCGTATTCGATTTATGAGAGTCAAACTTCTTAATTTTGACTCTGAATTTTGATATAGATAAAGGGAAACCTTGGAGCAACAGTAAAGTTGTCTCCGTGCATGTGACCTATAGGTCACGTGTTCAAGTCGTGGAATCAGTCACTGGTGCTTACATCAGGGTAGGCTGCCTATATTACACCCCCTTGGGGTGCAGCCCGTCTCCGGACCCTGCATGAATGCGAGATGCTTTGTGCACCGGGCTGTCCTTATTTTTTTAATTTGGACATAGAAATCTTTAAGTTTCTTTGATTTTTTTGTTATATATTAAGAAACTACGTAAAAAAGATTAGAAGTCACAATAATTAACAATTTTAAAATTTAAAAGACATAATGCCAAATAAGTTGAAACCGAGGGTGTCCTACAATTGTCAACAAGTCTTAAAACGCTAATTCTGATAGATAAATGCTTAATAGTGTGCTCTACTAATGAAACCTTAACAGCTAAATTAGCTACTTAAATAGTAGATGGTTTTCAATTTCATGATAAACAGTTAGGTGGACCAACATGGGAAGTGCAACTGGGAAGAAGGGACTCCACCACAGCAAATAGAACCATGGCAAACAACGACATCCCACCTCCATTCTTGGACTTACCTGCACTTATCAACAACTTCAAGAACCAAGGCTTGGATGAAAAAGATCTCGTCGCGCTCTCCGGTGGCCATACACTAGGGTTTGCACAATGTTTCACCTTCAGAGATCGCATATATAACGAGACTAACAACATTGATTCCACTTTTGCAAGTCAACGCCAAGCCGATTGTCCACGTAGTGGAGGTGATTCCAACTTTGCTTCCCTTGATCCAACACCAGCTCTTTTTGACTCGGAGTATTTTCGTAACTTGTTGTGCAACAAAGGGCTTCTGCACTCTGATCAAGCACTGTTTAGTGGTGGAAAAACTGATAATCTCGTTCAAATATATAGTACCAACCTTGGGACTTTTGCTAAAGATTTCGCTGAGTCTATGATTAAAATGGGAAATATTAAGCCATTGATAGGGAATCAAGGTCAAATTCGCGTAAACTGCAGGAAGGTGAACTAATTAGAGGGAGTAGTAATTAATGATGCTGGTGAATAATGTATTTCAAGAATTTGATTATTTTCAAGTGTAATCGTGATCTTTATTTACTCATTTGAAGAGCCTCTCTTCCATATAATTAGTTACAATTTATACCTTCTCAAACCCTAGTTGAATCACCTCAAAGAGCAAAATGGATAAGGATTCGGTACAAGGCTGTAAGACAAATGCATACTAGAAAATTAACATGCCAAATGCGTAAATACATAAACTTCTACTGAAAAAGCTATTGAGTGTTGAAGATAATGATCAGGCTAACAAACCTGATAACTATGCGATCACTTAGTCATAGGGTGTGTTTGGTATGAAGGAAAATATTTTTTAATTTTTTCATGTTTGGTTGGTTTAAATATTTTGGAAAATATTTTTCTCATGAACTCATTTCCAACCTTTTCCCATTCCCCACCCTCACAACGTGCCCCTACCCCACCCCAACTCCACNCCCTAAATAGAAATATTATTAATAGTACTTTCTTTTCATGTTATAGATAGAATATTTTTTTTTATTTCAACAAATGAGTATTTTAATTTCTTTTCATGATATAAAAAAAGTTTTTTTTTTCCTAAAAAAAAAAGTACTTTCTTTTCATGATGTAGAAAAAATATTTTCTTTCATTTCAACAAAATGATATAGTAAAAAGTATTTTCTTTTATTTTAACGAAAAGAATATTTTCTTTTTCATGATTTAGAAAAAATATTTTCTTTCATTTCAACAAAATGAGTATTTTCTTTTTATGATGTAGAAAAAATATTTTCTTTCATTTTAACAAAATGAGTACTTTATTTTCATGTTGTAGAAATAGTACTTTCTTTTTCAACCAAAAAAGAGTATTTTTTAGTTATGGAAGACAAATTTTAACGTTATTTTTGCGTAAAAAGGTAAAGCAACACATTAGTTCATTTGGGTTTGTGTGAAGTTTTAGAAGAATAATTAAATTCTTGAAGAAAATAGAGTCATGAAAATATTGGGTATTTGGGGGAGGGGGGAGGAGTGAGGAGAGCAACATAAAAAATTATTTTTCTAAAAAATATTTCTACTCGAAAATATTTTCCGGAAAAAGTTTTTCATTCAGCAACCAAATAAGGGAAAATAAGTGATAAAATCACTCATTTTCCATGAAAATATTTTCCATGAAAAACATTTCCTTCATACCAAACACACCCTTAGTTTACTAGAATTAGAACTTTTTGTATTAGTCATCCTAGAACTCTATGTTGTATAGTCAAAATATAGGATCAATATCCTGCATAAATACATAGGACTCGTGTAACTGCAAATACATCAATATACTGCCTTCTTGACATTGTCTCTATACCATAATTTCACATGGTATCAGAACTTCTTTGAAGCCAATCCTGCTACCAATACACAATACCAACTCTGTTCATATAGCTTCCAACACCTTTTCAACAAACTCTCTTCATCATCTCATTGCTTCATGTCCTATGAAATTAAAGCCCTCTAACTATCTTATATGGAGAATACAAATGATGCAACTTATCCAAATAATGAGGTTGAATTATCTTATTAGGAAAGCCAGAAATTATAAACGTAGAGGGCACCAGTGAGAGCAATGATAAGGACAGTGGCAAAGGAGTTGACAAAGCCAGTGATAAAAAGGCTGATACTGCTGATAACTAAGTTAAAAAAGATGTGTTGTTAAGGAGTTTGATATCTAGGACAATGTCAGAAGAGAACATCTATCTCATTGTGGGATGCACGACTGCTAAACAGATGTGGGAATGCCTGGAAGAAACCTATCTGCAGGCGACAGAGGACAAGGAATTCCAGTTGAAGCAACAACTTTAAACTATCAAGCTTGGCAGTAGAACGATCAATGAGTATCTGGGAGAATTAAAAGGCATTTGTGATGGCCTGGCTGCCATACATAATCCTGTAGATGATGATAGCAAGGTCATTAACTTTGCTAGAGATTTGAGTCCTAAATACAAAACCTTTAGGATTGTGATGCTTGCCAAAGCACCTTATCTAACTCTGAGCCAGTTGGTCACTTCCCTAAGAGGCTTTTATCGCAGAGAGGATGAAGGAGATGATTCACATTAAGTGAATCACAATATGGAATTTGCAACACAATGGACATACAAAAACAGAGGTAGATGAAACTTCTCAAACAGAAGAGGTAACATGAACTACAACTCAAGAGGTAGAGGCTTCAGGCCTGCTAGATAGAACAACAATCAAAACACTCAAGGATCTGAAAATACTACTAAGGGACAGGAAACCACAGGATCATCAGTCTGCCAGATATGTGGCAGGAACAATCATACTGCAATAAAGTGCTTTTACATTCTCCTATCAAACACCTGAAGATTTGCCACAGGCTCTTGCTACACTCAATGTGAACAGTCACAGTGGTGGAGACAAAGCTCACTATATGGATTCTGGAGCAAATACTCACGTGACCAACAATACAGGTAACTTATCCAACCTTAAACCTTACAGTGAAAATGATAAAATTGTAGTGAAAAATGGACAAGAGCTGGATATCACACATGTTAGAAAAGGAACAGTTTCTGGTTTAAGGATGAGTGAAGTTCTAGTAGTTCCTAAGCTCAAAAAGAATTTGTTATATGTAAGTAAGGGTGATAAATGGGCTGTTTGGGATGGTTAAGATGGGTTGACTCATTAAATGGGTCATTATCCAACTCTGCCCAAAGTTCACTTGGGTTAAGATGGGCTGGGTCAAGATGGGCTAAACAATAGGTTGTAACCCAACCCGTCCCAATTGACCAAATCTTTGAAATATTCTCAACTTTAAAATAATTAGCATACAAAAAAATTATCTTTTTTGGAATAAATGGCAATTCATGCCGAATGATTGTTTTTTCTCAATATGGATTTAGAATTTTATTTGATAGTTCTTCATCTTGTAATACTAACAAAGATTAGAATAATTAAAAAGTAGTAAAATTACAACTTCCCACCCATCCCAAACCCCACCCTACCCTCGAACACCCATCCCACACCTAAATAGAAATATCATTTAGAGTACTTTATTTTAATATAGTAGATAGAGCATTTTTTTTTGTGTCAACAAAATGAATATTTTCTTTTTATGATGTAGAAAAGTATTTTTCTTTCATTTCGATAAAATAAGAACTTTTTTTTTCATGATATAGAAAAAGTCTTTTCCTTTTCACAAAATGCGTACTTTCTTTTCATGTTGTAGAAAAGGTATTTTCCTTTTCACAAAAAGAATACTTTCTTTTTGTGATGTAGAAAAAGTATTTTTTCACAAAATAAGTACTTTCTTTTCCTGTTGTAGAAAAAGTATTTTCTTTTAATGTTGTCGGTAAAGTATTCTGCCTAATAATTTCAACAAAATGAATATTTTAGTTTTTATGATGTTGAAAAAGTATTTTTTTTATTTCAATAAAATAAGTACTTTTTTTAATGATGTAGAAAAAATATTTTCTTTTTCACAAAATGAGTACTTTCTTTTCACGTTGTAGAAAAGGTATTTTTTTAAAACAGAAAAAGTACTTTCTTTTCATTATGTAGAAAATATTTTTTTCCCACAAAATAAGTACTTTCTTTTCATGTTGTAGAAAAAATATTTTCTTTTATTTCAACAAAAAGAGTACTTTCTTTTCATGTTGTAAAAAAAATATTTTCTTTTATTTTAATAAAATAAGTATTTTATTTTATTTTATTATGATACCTAAAAAATAGCTCTGTATCCGTCCCTTATTTATCGATATAAATTTTATTTGTAATTTTTTCTATTGTGATAATGTATTTCTTCTTTATTTTCAGATTTGTTTCATGTTTGGTGATTATTTTTCAACAACAGTTAGTTTTCGAAGGTTGAAAAAAAGTTTTAGAAATATTTCCTTCCAATTGGAGAAAAAACGAATTCATTAAGAAAATATTTTTCAAATATTTAAACCAGCCAAACATGAAAAAATTAGAAAATATATTTCAGCACATGGGTCAAGGTAGAACTCTAACATTGAACATTCCCATGGGTCAAGGTTTGGCATCATCATAGGTCCATTTAGGCTGATGATTTTTGATGGATTAACTTGGGCTAGCCCAAAACAATCCATTTTCAAAATCATTCTAGCCCAAACCCATTAAAACATGGGTGGGTTGGGCAGATCAAATAGGTTTGGGTTAATTTTGCCATCCCTATCTGTAAGTAAGATTACTAGAGATAATTGTTGCTCCATTGAGTGTGATGGATCATCTTTTGTTGTAAATGAGAAGAGGGAAGGAAAACTGATGGCCAAGGGTGCTAAAAGAGGAGAGATATATGCCTTGAAGGTAGACAACCTGCTTGCATTGAGTGCAACACAGACAAGGAGAAGCTCTAGTGATATTTGGTATGCCAGACTTGGGCATCCAAATTCTAGGCCCTTAGAAGCACTTACTAATAATTAGTATATCAGTGTCACATGTTGGAATAAAACTCCTAAGTTTGTGTTAGTTGTCAAATGGAAAAATATTGTAAACTACCATTCAAGCTGAGAAATAAAGTTGAGAATGAGCTTCTACTGAAAATTCACTGTGACTTATGGGGTCCTAATCCTGCTAAATCCTCCCAACATATGAAATACTATGTTATATTTGTTGATGATTACAGTAGATATACTTGGTTGTATCCTTTAAAAATAAAATCTGACTTCTTTGAAATATTTGTTAAATTCCACAAAATGGTTGTGAAACAGTATTCAAAGAGTATCAAGATCTTTCAATGTGATGTAGGTGGTGAATTTTTAAGTTCTGAATTTGTTAAGTACTTAGAAATCTGTTGTATTGTAAGACATATTTCACGTCCTCATACTCCTAAGCAAAATGGTATTGTAGAAAGGAAACATAGACAAGTAGTGGAAACTGGATTAACACTATTACTGCATGCTAGGTTACCTTTATATTTATGGACTGAAGCATTTCTCACATCATTATTTCTGGTAAATAGATTTCCATCATCTGTGCTTAAAAAGAAAACACGATTTCAGAAATTACATGGTTCACATCCTGATTATAATAGTTTGAAAGTGTTTGGGTGCAAGTGTTTCCCTTGCTTAAAAGAAAAATACAAGTTCTCA